TTTACTTTCTTACGATTTGGGGGTTCACGGTCTAGAGTGTAGGGTTTAGGATTTAGGGTTTAGGGGTCTAGGATGTGGGGTTTACAGTTTGAGCTTGGGGCTCAGAATTTAAGGTCGAGGAAAGTTGTATTCCGCAGTGGACCGAGACACCGGGATGCCTTGGGAAATGAATAAGAGGAATGGCTGTTTGCGGCTCATTGCTCAACCCTAAATCCTAAACCGCGCAGCAGTAATCCTTCTGACCTCAGGTTACTTTTTAGCATGCGCAAAACTGCGGGAGTTCCTACAGCAATGCCAAATTTCAGAACCCTAAACCCTGAATCCAAAGCCCCAAATCCTACCACCTTGAATCCTGAACCCTATACTCTTAATCTTAAACACCCTAAACCCTAAACCCTAAGTCTCACATCAAGAAGCCCATGGCTACTTGAAGACCCAGAGATAGTCGCCATCCCCAGGACAGTTCCTGGGCTGCTGTTTAAGAGCTTAATGGGTTAGGGATTAGGGTTTAGGGCCAAAATATGGATATATGGTATGCTAAGTGGGCCCTGCACCCTGTAATAGTGGTATACTATGCATTTAAGAGGGCCCTACTGTAATCACCTTTATCCCTATTAGTCACTGTTACTGGGTGGGGGGGTCCACCTAAGGTGAATAGCAAATAACAAGGTTTCCTTATTATTGTAACCCTTAACCCTATATACCATATGAGCCATTGTCTAAAATCCTAGTAGCCCCCTTATTAACCCATGTAATAGTCCCTACATAATCCCCTATATAACCCTCTTTAAGGAGTTTAGGTTATGGCTCCTATATACCTTTTTTGATAGTAACTTAGTTTTCCTTAGTATTGTAACCCTAAACCCCGTCTACCATTATATATATTTATATAGACCTTTTTTGATAGTACCCTATATACCATATATATATATAACTTTAACCCTAAACCCTATATACCATATATATATATACACCTTAACCCTAAACCCTATATACCTTCTAAATATATATATATATTACCTTTTTTGATAGTAACTTAATTTTAGCTCCTCAGCAGCATCCCAGGCTCGTGGACGGTGTAGTTCAATGCAGCAGCGGCCAGGATGGCCAAGCAAACATTGTTCCTGTGATGAGGGCGTGGGGTTTAGTATTTAATCCTGAAGAGTTAGGGGCTTAGGGTTTAAGGTTTAGAGTTTAGGGTCATGAGGGTTTAGGGTCTATGCGTATCTGAAAATTCGGCTCTCCAAATACGTTGGGGATTGGACTACCGCTGTGATTTACTTAAACGGAAGAAAGGGTCCGTACCTTTGACAAACCTCACAAAAAATCGAAAACTCCTACACCCTAAAAACTTTAAACCCTAGCGACGCAAAACATGGAAAACTCCCAAGCAGATGCGTAGGTTCTGGTAGATGCCCACCAGCCTAAGCTGGAGCACTAAGAGCCAGGCTGTCAATATGATTGCTATTATTATTAGTACCAGTAATTAAAGATTTCGATTATTATTGAAGGTTGATCATTTCTACCGTTATTGATGAATATTAAATTACTGAAGCTACTGTCAGTCCTTTGTTTTTTCTAAGCTGCTTAATCTTAGGCCTGAACCCCAAATCCGGAACCTTAAACCCAAATCCTCAATCAGAAAGCCCAATACCCTATACCCCAAGCCCTAAACCCTAAACCCCAAACCCTATAACCTATACCGCAAGCCCTAAACCCCAAACCCAATATCCTATACCCTGTACCCCAAGCCCTAAACCCTAAACCCCAAACCCTATACGCCCTGAACCCTAAACCCCAAACCCTATACCCTGTACCCCAAGCCCTAAAGCCTAAATAGTAGTTTCCATTTTCTTCTCCACATATCCCTAATATATATCCTATTATAGTAGTCTCCATTTTCTTTTCCATTATCCCCAAACCCTAAAGCCAGCTAAGAGACATGCCTCGAATTTTCTCAGGGGCCACTTCCGAGATGAAGGCGGGACCAGCGGAGGACGTGATGCCAACTCCGACGCCAGCAACGACGCGCCTTCGGCTTAGAAGGGCTCTTTAGGGTTTAGGGCTTTGCTTACAAGGGCTTTTTCATGGTTTAGGGCTTTGGGCTTTGTAGAATTTGGGAAGGATTTTGAAGCCCCAAAATCTGGATTGTTTAGGGTTTAGATTGCTTTGGGGTTTAGAGTGCCGGGTTTAGAGTGCAATGTTATGGGATTTGGGTTTGCCTTGAGGGCTGCGCAAAAATCCTCTGGTCCATAAACTTCTTGCTAACTTGGGAGTTATGTAGGGGATGCCATCTAGAGAAGTACGCATATCGCGGTTACATAAGGATGACAGTCAGAACGAAGATGGTTGATGCTTGTTGAGCTCACAAGGCCTAACTCTGGATCCCTAAACCCTAAACCCTAAAGCAAATCACACAGCAACACTGATCCAGCTCCATGGGCTCTTTTCGAGGTGCTGTAAAAACATTGATTTTGCATATTGTGATTGAGCTTGTGAAATGTGAAGTTTTGCTCAACCCTTCCAGTTGAATATTCGATATCGGGCTTCAGCATTGCTGACACACAACACGTTACTCAACAGTTCCAAAGCTTCCCTACGATGAGCATCGCAGTGTTTTGGGCCGCAGCTTGTAAAGCTCCACCTCCAGGGACCCAACCGGTTTGGGGTTTAGGGTTTAGGGTAACCCCTAAACCCCAAACCCTAAAACCCTAAACCCTGGACCCTCAGTTTAGCATGATTTTGGGTAGTTTCTCAAAGCAGAGGGCCCATAGGGTTCCTGCGTATCTGTGAAAGGAATATGAGCTTTCGTGTAAACTCCGAGTATCCCGTGTAGTAAAGGTTTGTTTAGTGTTTAGGGTTTAGGGTCTAAGCTCCTAGTATCCCCCTTAATAAGGGTTTAGGGCTTAGCGTTTAAGGTTTAGGGTTTCGGGTCTAAAGTCCTAATATCCCCCTCAACAAGCCTTTTAATAGTCCCCTATATAATCCCCTACATAGCTCCCTTTAAGGACTTTGGCTCGTATGAGGGAGAACATAACAATCAGGCCAGAAGTTGAGAAACGTTTTAGGGTGTAGGGTTTCGGTTTCGGGTTTAGTCTGTGAAGGTCTCTCTACCCTTTTGGAGCATGGACCGTTTCGGGAACTAGATGGAATCCCAACTTGCATGATTGAGGACGTTCCACCATCCCATCCCGTCGGCTAGAATATCTTTTAGGGTTCAGGGCTCAGGACTTAAGGGTGTCTCTTTTGGCTCCATCCGCCTACGGCGAAAAGCAAGGAGCCTATGAAGAGCGCAGGACGGCGTCCGTGCTTGTCCACCAGCAGATGACCCGCGAGAACGGCAGCAATAGCTGCTCCAATGTTAAAACCATTCCTTGCATGCCGCAACACCGCTTAGAGTTTAGGATCTAACGTGTTCATGTTCAAAGACAATGGGGGCGTTTTGTGCATTTATTGTCCCCGCAATGTTTGACTCCACAAGATACACAAGATATTTCCTGCTCCCTGTGAAACTGTCCGAGAATGACTGTATGCACCTGATCCTCAATCACAAAACCATTGAAACTAGGAGGGGCTGGGAGGCGTTAACATCCTGCTAATGTGTCCAGTTCCATGCTCCCTCAGGCTCCAAAACAACCACTGTACACGAACCCGAAAGCTTCACACCTCAAAACCTAACCCAATATCTCTGAACCCCGAATCCTACATCCTTAACCGCTCACCCCGTACCCTATACCCCTAAATCCCAAACACAAACCCTAAAGCCAAAAGGCTCAGCCCAGGGTCACTGTGAATCCTTCCCAAAAAGCAACGGTGGCATTGTCCTCCTGAGGCCACCCCATCATCCCGCGAAAGCTGGACCTGGGGAAGTCTCAAGGTCCAAGAGATTCGGGATCAGCTGCAGGGGTTATATAGGGGATGTATTGGGTCATGTATCGGGGTTATAGAAAATGGAAACTACAGGAAGTGTTAGTTGCGTTACTATGCTGTAGAGGCTATTAAGGTCTCAAAGGTTTAGGCTTTCTTTTTGGGGCTTAGGGGTTCAGAGGATTGCCCTTCAGTTTTGGGACGAAGGGATATAAGGCATCTTCAAGGAAAGCCTCGCTTGGGACTCTTACGGGGTCTGGCTTGGTGGCGGAGGTCCTTGCTTGTGCGAACCTCCCGTATCCCCACATCAGCTTTAGTCTAAACTCCTTAGGGGGTTATGTAGGGGGTTATATAGCGGAGAATGATAGGGGTTACTGAGGGGGATACTTGGAGTTCAGACTATGGCTCAAATCAGCTTTACGTGATCGTGCATACCTGGAGCCTGGAGTTATACACCTCAGCCCCATGTCGGGAATAATCTACTGGGCAAAACTGATGATAGTACTCATGACCAGCAGCCAATGACTAGGGTCTGTAGGATATGCCTAAATTTTGAAGATGAAGGCAGAACCGAAATTTGGCAACTTCCGAACATGGTGAAGACGTCATTCACAACCCCGTTGTCGTAGCCGTGGAAGAAGCCTGTGGTGGCCACAAAAGCACACGTTGTGGCAGCATAAGCTCTCTTCCAGAATCCCGCTTCTTGCGCGGGTTTCTCCGCGTTGGCAACTTGGACTTCACTTGCCCTTGCCTGGGTTGCTGTTAAGGAACTTAAGTTAAGTTACTATATTGGGGAAACACTATTATTTACTATATATATACCCATTATGGTAACTTAATTTAAGTTCCTTAACAGCAACCCAGTTGCTGCCACTCCATGTATATCTGCAGCTGCCTCTCCCATGGCCACAGGGAGAAAGGGGCAGGACAGTCCTACTTGTGCCGAGGGAACTTGATCCCCACCACCTTTCCGGCTCAGAGTTTGGGGTTGTGGCGAATTGGCATAATAGTAAAAGGGCTTAGGGTTCAGGGTTTAGGGTTCAGGGTTTAGCGCTAATCCCACAAGGATGCAAGACTTAGGGTCTAGTCAAAAGTGGGTTGCTGGCCCCAGGCAGACTTGACATCTGGTGCAAGCACTTCTTGGAGGGGCGCTTGTCTTCCATTTGGGTTCCACGTGGTCTTGGGGGAGTCCAGTCGTTCGGAGGCGCTCTACGGCCGCCAAGTCTTTCAAGCGCGAGGCTTTGGCAACCCCAACACCCCAAAATTGGGACCTGTTGTAGCCATATGATAGCTGTAGGATCGTAGTTTTGATGCTTGGGATGTAGATGTACAAATCCAGAGTCCTTCTTGCGATCTTTTTTTGGTCCTGCCTGTTGTTTTATATTTGCAGTAAAAGTCTCCATCCTTAGGAAATCAGAACAATGATCCAGCAACTCCACCACACCGTCTTTTTCCGACTGCGCACAAGAGAAAGTAGCAATTTCCAAAGGCTGAGTTCCTGAACTTATGCAGCGATCAATGGTTCACCATGCTGCTGGGTTTGCGAAAGGGAGGCTACCATGGTTCAGAACGGCAAGCGATGCTAGGTTATCATAATGAGGGTCCCTTTATGGGCCCCTAGTATAGTATGGTCCCTCATATCTAGGGCCCGACAAGGGGCTCGCCTGAGTTGCATAAGGGAATGGTTAAGGGCTTAGGGTTTTTAGGTTTTAGGGGTTTAGGTGGAATTAGGACCCTAGGCTCGAGGTTTGGAGCTTAGGGTTGAGCATGTAAGGTTCGGAGTTTAAGCTTCTGGCGTTTGGCGTCTAGGCAAAACTGCCAATCGAACAGCAAGCATGGAGCAAGGTAGGGGATATAGTCCCCTTTAAGTAGATAGAATGTTACGTTGGAAATAATATGATAAGATCACCATATACCCCATATTCTATCTACTTAATGGGGATTGTATCTCAAGCCCTAAACCCTAAACCCTATATTCTATCTACTTAAGGGTGACTAAAAAAATGCAGCGACAAGATCAGCCCCAAAAAGCTGCAGGAACTGCTGGTCTGAGCGGATCTCCGTCTTGCTGCCCAAGTTCAATTTCGAGTTTAGGGTTTTAGGGGTTTAGGGTTAAGGGGTTTAGGGGTTTAGGGTTAAGGGGTTTAGGGGTTTAGGGTTTAGGGGTTTACGGTTTAGGGAGTAGACTGGCCCTAAGCTCGAATCGACCCCAAACCCTAAGCCCTATAGCCCTAAGCCCTATACTGTACAAGCCTGACTTTCCGCGGAACCTCAAGCGGCCCCGACAATGTGCCCTACAGTACCCTTTGGCCCATCTATGGTAGTTTCCATTTTATTTTCCATTATCCCAAAATTTCCTAATATAACCCTGATATGATCCCCATGTAACCCTATTATACTATAGTAGCAAAAACTGCGCAAGCAAGGGTCAAATGGTTGGGTATGGAGTTCAAGGTTTTGGGCTTACGGGAAACAATTCCGGGAGAGGTCTACGTTTGTCGTCTGGGAATTTGCCTGAACGAGCATTCCTGAATTGGTGGTTACATATGCACGAAGCTGTCTCAATGCCAAACACTACCCAAGTGACCAATCTGGGCGTTTTGGGCGTTTTGGGCGTTTCTCTGGATGATCCATGCGCACGCCTAAAGCGAAAGAATTATGATGCACTTGCAGTCGGATCGCCATGGGCCAGTCTGTGGGTACCCCAACTTCGAACAACTACCATCTGAGGTCCCTCAAGCAGGGATCTTTGAAGGGCTAAGACTTCGGGTTCCAGAGGATTTCACCCTAACCCTAGATCCTAACCGGCGTTTGGTTAGCTAGGAATGAAGGAATGTATCCCTACAGTAGTCTGTAACCATTTGTAGTAGTTTCCATGTTCTTTTTCATTCCTTCGTTCCCAGCTAACCAAAGGCCAGTAAACCCTAAATTTCAAGCAGGGCTCTCCTTGAGGCAAGAGCACCTTACGAGTTCTGGAAGACCATGACATTCACATTGAAGCAGGTGTAGTGCCCTGTACACTGAGCCGCTGTTAAGGAACTTAAATCGAATTACCATAACCTGGGTATGTAGGGTTTAGGGTTTAGGGGTATGTTACCAGAATGTGGGTATATAGTACATACTAGGGTTTCCTTATTGCAGT